AACATCACTTCGTCTTGGGGGCATTTTCCTTTTTTTCGCTTGAATAAAACCTTGGACAATATAAGTTTTTGAAACAAAAATGTAAAAAGCGCTGCTGATGTGAAATGATTTTATTTTCTAGTGGCGTACATCTTTCGATTATTTTGGAAATAATCGATTAATATTGCAATTAATCAAAAGGGCTTTCACGATACAATTAAACCGACAAGTAAAGGAAAATAACCGATTAATATTAATTCTTCGATTAATCGTGCCATCACTACCTGTCTCTCCCTGAAGTCGATGGACCTAGTTCCACTTCCTCTAACACAACTTTAACATCTAGCGTTGCAGGACGTCCTGTCTCTCCGCCACGCCTTCCAGGTATGCGACCTTAAAAAAGGTAAAATGATAGTTAAAAGAAGAATGGCTTCAAACAAGAAAAGTGCAAAAGTCACTTGCCTTCATATATTACTCTATGGGTCCGGGCGAATACTTCACGGCCCGAATGCAGACGATTGGGGTATCGCTCTGCACAAAGTCTTTGAGCAGCTCTGGCATTACAGCAAGCTTCACCGTAAAGTAGGTGAATCTCCGCATATTCATGCGACGTATATTGCGTGTTCTCTGTCATAGTATTAATAACAAAATGTTCGAAGGGTCCTATTCCACAAAATCCACTTTCATTATTTCTGGTAAGTAACACAAAATAATGTCAGGAGCAAGTAATAATGTACCTTTGCACTATTTAGCATGTCATTGGTCGGTAACAAGAGGAACTTAAATTTAAGTCTATTAAATATATTCTAGCGTGTCTCAGTCCTTTGCCCACAAAAGCGGCTATAACTTTTTTTCTATTCGAAAAAGTAAGAGTGGCACCTTTCTGAAATCCTTATTAAATGAACAATTTTTTGTATGTAATGTAAAGTTTTAGCTCAGTACATTTTGTTTCACCAGAGATAGTCAAAGTTGGGGAGAAAATACCAAAAAGTTAAAAATCCCAAAATAGTCCTAATTTTATGATGGTTCCTTAATATATTTTAACTACATTACATTTGAGTATGGAAAAAGCAACTATCTGGAAGTATTTTACATAAAAAATTTACTAAGTATAGCCTGGCTTGTAGATGTAGCTAAAGAAAATACATGAAAAGGCAAGATTTTTTTTAATTAAAAAAAATGTAAATATTGCAAAAACGGTAACACTAACCTGAAAATTTTTTGTTTATCAGAGAGCTCATTTTACGCACAAACTTTGCATCCTCAATAGAGACTCGTCCCACCCGTCACAAAATACTATGCCACCCACCACAAGCTAAAGGATTTTTTTTTTTAAATTTTCAAATATGAAAATACCATTAAGGCATAAAATGGGCCTTAACATTCTGTTATCTACATACGAGAAAGGCGTTTTGAACGAAATATTTATAGTTTGTCTAAAATAGGGAAACGAATCCATCAACTCAGAGAGGCGGCTGTCGTCGTTGTCCCACCCGCCACTTTTGGTAAATTGTCAATTTTCTATGTAAATTATATAATTAAGTTGTATACCTTAATAGTTTCATAATAATCTGATATCTGACTTCAAGTGTTAAGATTTTGAGACTTATCTAATAAATGGTTAAAGAGAAATGACTTAAAGTTTGAGCAAAAACGAGTTAAAATGTCCCACCCGTCACGTTGCAATGCACCGTTTTCATAAATCGGTCCATTTTGTGCACTCTATCGACTATTTATACATCGAGTGGAAAATTTTCGATGCATCGAAGCAAAACATTGATATTATGCATCGATGTTTTTCCGACATCCCTATGAGTCAGCAACGAAGCAACATAGGCGGGGCTCCGTTGGTTATTTTTTTATGCGACAGTGTTCGCTTACACATGTATGTACGATTAAAAATTATCTTCAAAATATTCTTTATGGGGCTGTTCAGAACATTGAGGAAATGGTCTTGGATTTACATTTCGAATTCCATTTGTAAATTTTATGCTTGCTATCATGGCAACAGTATGCATTTTATTGTTGCGAACCTACAAATGCACCGAAAAATGCATATTCAAGATCATATGCTCGAGATCCTGAACAGCCTTCATGATTTTAAATGCTTTGTTGAAAAGCAAAGCCTCTTGCGTCACTTACCCATTGAAGGAGAACGGGAATATAATGTCAAAAGGCATTATAATATTTTTCATTGTATTAGTCATATATATACCAACTTTCAATTTTCTACTGTAATCAATACAGGGTCCATAACCTTGAAATGCGCTTCTGAATCCCTTTAAGACTGACAAAAATATTGATGAATTTTATAAAAAGCTAGTATTTCCATGACAACTAATGCTTGTAATATTTTGGCAGCTAATTTAAATTTGAAATGGTCTTAACTAATAGTTTGGTAATGGTTGAAACGGTCTTAGGTTGCTTAACTAATACTTTGGTTAATACATAGTACCATTTTGACCGAGCTTTGCCTGGAGTGCATATACTTTTTAAATTTTTCAAGATTTGGATAGCTTTAAAAAATATTTTGAAAAAAAGGATTTCGATATCTATTAAGTGAATTCCTTACTCTAAAAGTTATGTGGCAACCCTATTCCGAAATACGCTGGAAGGAATGGTATATATCTTGAGCGTATATGTACTATGTATACATTAACATATTTTGATTGAAATTAACAAAATAAAAATTTGTATTACATAAAAGCGTGGCGACCCTGATAAAAATCATTTTCTGACCAAAGTTCTCAACAATAACTTTCATTTGATTTCCATATTGTGATGTTTTAAATAAATTGTGTAGAACCGAAAATAAGTGGCAACCTTACACTATTATCTTAAGAGATAACATTTTGTATATAGGGAAAGCATTGTTTAAGAACCTTATCTTGGTAACCATGAATAATAATGTTTTACCTTCTTTTTCTAAACAGAAAATTGCATAAATATGCGATTCAAAATAGGTGGCAACCCTATTAAAAATATTTTTGAATTAGGGATATTTAAAATACCCTCCATTTGATACCCATATTATGATGTTAATTAATTTGTAACTTATTTCGAATAGGTGGCAACCTTATACGAGTCTTCTCGGAGGTAATGCCTATTCAGATAGCCTTAAAATCCAAAACATTATCTGTGTACACAATTTTATCAAAATACGTAGGCCCGTTTTCGAGAACCCCATGGATATATTCAGTATTGGCCAATACAATAGCACCCCCATTTCATTGTCATATTGTTTGCCACTCATGTTTATTTATTTATTTTTAAGAATTTTTAATTAAAATACAGTTCATTCTCTCACATAAACTCAAGTTTAAAACTTTTTAAAAGACCGCAAAAAAGTGCAACAAATTTTCACCCAAATTTCAAACTTTTTCTCAGAAGCGGTAGAATTTTTTTGAATACACAGTTTTATAGCCCATTCAATTTTAGTCTAATATTGTGCAAGTTTCTAGTGGCTAAAAATTACCGTTGATTTTTTAGAATTTTTTTCGCCGAGGATGTTGAGGGTTTCTGCCATATAAAAATAAATTGTGTTTAGTCGTTATATGGAAGCAAATGAGAATAAAAATTCTACAAAATCAACGGTAATCTTCAGCGACTTGAAACTTGCACATTATTGGACTAAAATTGAACGCGCTATAAAACTGTGTACTGAAAAAAATTCTAGAGCTTCTGAGAAGAAAGTTTGAAATTTTAGGGGAAGTTTGTTGCGTTTTTTTGCGGTCTTTTAAAAAGTTTAAAACATGGGTTTTGTTAGAGAATGAACTGTATTTTAATTGAAAATTCTTAAAAACAAATAACTAAACATAAGTGGCAAACAATATCGCTTTTAAAGGGGGGTGCTATAGATATGTCCAATACTGTATATATATATATATATATATATATACAAGAATTGCTCGTCTAATGTAATAAAATATGGACAATATACTACTTCTATAGTAAAATATAAAAATTTCATGAGCAGCCTCTAAATTTATACTTAGAAACTTAAAGTTTGGTGCAGGACCTCTTTCTGCAAGAGGACAAATTTTCTAATGTACATACATACAATCATCATTTTGTAACGAAAAAAACAAAATCATAACTTTACCCCATATGATTTGCTTTTACACCACTGTAGCTTAAATTGCTCTGCGCTCACCAACACAATCTCACTTTCAGTTTTGCCGACCACTGCTCTAAATGCCCTGCAGTAAATCGTGCTACATGGCGATGTCCTACGAAGTGGAAATTGCAACCTCTGCAGAACTTTCGTACTAGTTCTGAACTGGTTCCATTTTCGACAGTTCTGGGACAATAAGTTTTTTATGAAGAAACAAAATTTAAAACTAGATTATTGGATATTTTTCCTTTTCGAAACTGTTTCCATTTTGGACAGATAACTTTTTTATGAAAAAATTTTGATTATTTAGATTTTTTTATTTTTTCTGTTCTTTTACAGATTGCATTTTATTTATTTTTTATTATTATTTTATTTTCTTTATATTAAATTTGAGAATTTTTTCTTCAATTTTTAAACGGCACTCAACAATTTAAATTTATTAAATCTGAAAATCACAACTGCGATTTGTACTCGCGACCAACGATGTTAGAGTCGGAGGTCTTGCCGCTGAGCTATTTTAGTATTGTACGAGAATTGAGAATTTCTGCATTTACTTCTCAACAGAGCGCAACTAGCACGCCAAAAGTTTCAACTGTCCCTCTCTGCAGCCGGTTTGCACTAGTTCAGAGATAGTTCTGAAATGTATACGGCGGAACTAGCGCTTTAACAGACTGTCTCTAAATTTTACTGCAGGGTGCATGCGCAAAGTATCGTAACTGAAAAAGGAGTTTCGCACATTCGATAGTTTGATATGGTAGCGACGATGTAATCACAAAGTCATATGGCTAATGTACTAATTTTTCATTTCTATGTAAGAGTACAGTTTAATAGCAATTGGATTTTATTTGTTGCGAAAATGTGTCTTTCCCAAATAATCTTCTAATGTGCCTCTTATGCTAAATTTCAGATAACAATCGACGAAATACGTAATGCTAATTTTGCCACAGCTAGCGATGAATTGAAATCAACAAACCTGTTAAGGAATTATCCGTTCGACCCCAGGCTCCTACTCTTCGGATACACAACAGAAACGATTAACATGCTTCTTGTGCCCATGTTCAATGACAAGTAAATACTATATCATTATTTTGTTAGTGCTCTAAAATTTATCCTTTAAATATATCTGTTTAAAACTTATATGAAGCGGTAATCGAAGAGTTCTACATGTCGCTACCTTAATATAAAAAGGCCTTAACTCGTTTTCTTTTCAAATTCAGCTGTATGAAAAAGTCGGTAGATTACTCACTAAAGACTTAATTGAATTTAAACTATTATTACATCAAAAAATTTAAGAACTTTAGTTTGTATAAAAGGTGACAGCTAAAAACATCAACGGAAATAAGGTCAATTGACACATACTGGTGCGAAATAATGTCAATTGACATTACTACCTTTTCAAAAGCGAAAAGAAAGTCAACAAAAATTTGGAAATAAAGTAAATGATGATATTTCCTTATTCAAACGGAAATAGCGTCAACAATGCTTAAAGTATGTCGATTCAAAGAAAAATGTTGTTCTTGTATCGTACGTGAGATATGTGAATGTTGTTTATAATAAATATCGCCCCGTAATTGTTGTTTCCTTCCATAGATGAAAGGGGATATTGCCAAATCCTCAGTCTGCTGTTTGTCATCAACACTCAATCATGAACCACCCCCAATTGATTTTATTAAAAATTTAAAATTACGAATATAATAAAAACACGATGCGAAAAACCAAACGCAAAAGAGCTAAAAAATATTTGAAGAAAAAAATATAGAAATCATCCAGAACTTGCAAAACATGCCTCGTTTCCACAATAATGAGGCGAACACTATTAAAACGAAGAAACAGTGGATTGTCGTCATGTCAAAAAAAAACCCCGGAAGAACACTGAAAGAATTGTGTTTTTAAATTATCATATTTCGAACGAACTCGGAAGTTGAAGGTTGAAAAAAAGAAACCTTTCTATAAGAAAACAATTATAGAAAATAATTTTCTTACACTGTATTCATGTCGCTGCCAACGACTTGTGACATCATTTAAAAGCAGCTAAGGAGAACTATGTATTAGATGACACATTCAAATCAGTGTGCCAAAATGCGGGAATAAACAATTATTGAGCGTGGCGGGTCGCGACGTGGTGTGGCGCGCGGCTGCGGGACGCCCCGAAGCTACACAAATTTAATATTTGAACGAGCAATAACGTCAATGGATTTTATTTCGCTAATGATGTCAATTGACTTTATTTCGCACCAGTATGCGAAATAGTGTCAATTGACCTTATTTCCGTTGATTTTGTTACCGGTCACCGTAAAAAATTATAACTACTCTATACAGAAACATAACTGTTAGACAGTCCTTTCTATATTAATCCGTTTCAGTAAATGAATATGAAAGAAACAAAGTTTATTGTGTGCCAGTTTTATTTGAGAAAAAAAATTGTGTTTAAAATTTTTTAAGCATTCTCTAAAAACAGCTAATTCACGTAACTCTCTTATTTGAAGTCCAATGTTTAAAATCCTTATGTCGCCGAAAAGGTCTCGCTTAGGACTATGATTGGCCCTTAAAAAGTTTTGGCCTGAAAATTCCGTTTTAATTTATAACTTCATTAATTTTGGAAGTATGTACTATCAGTAGTTTGTTATTTTTATTATATAAATCTAAATCAGAAAGTGAGATAAGTGTACTACGCTCTCGCCTATAGGAGAGAACGCAGTCCAAAAGTCAAACACCAGCTGCTCAATCGATGCAAATGCATAAACAATTCTTGCTCTCATACGGAATGCAGTGAGAAGTGAAACTTAAACTTGTGTTAATTAAGTGTGAAGTCGCTTGCCCATCAATGGCCATGCAATGTTAATGTGAAATCACCCAGCACCACAGCAGCGACAATAGCCGTCCTGCCCGCTCGACAGTAACGACGGCAGCTTCATGATACAATTATACAAGTTGTTGAAAGCTAGTTTCGACGGCTCCCTTACAAAGGTTGTAATATGGAAGTACGGGAAAAAGAGGAAGAAAAGAAGACCACTTTGCGAAACTATACCAAATGTACTCTTTTTAACCGACTTCCAAAAAAGGAGGAGGTTATCAGTTCGTCGGAATATATATATATATGGGGCATTTCACCTCAAGTGACCCAACTTTTGAAATCTATGTCTTCCGATCGGGGTGAAATTTGCACCAAGGTTAGTCCTAAAAAATAGTAGTTATGACACAAAATTTCAATGGGATCGGTCAAACACACTCCGAGTTGGAGGGTCTAGAATTTTGACATTTTGGTCAAACGGCCATTTTTTCGGATCCATATAACTAATTACCTATTGTATTTAGAAAATTTTTTCAGGAATGTTTTCGATAGATTTCTCTTCAGTCTTTACAAATTTTATTTTTTTTTAATTTTTTAAAAATTTTTTTTTTAAATAAAAAATTTTATGTTTTTTTTTTCAAAAAGGGGTATTTTTATTTTTATTTTTTTTTGCTCAAAGGAAAGCTTAGGTATTTTTCTTTAAGAGCTTTGTGGTCGCTTAGTGGGATGCAATTTGCGTATCAATCAAAATTAGCGTTTAGTAACTCGAAACAGCGGTTTTTTTAATTTTTAATATATGACCTATTGTCTTCTTTTTTTCGTATTATTGTGTAAGTATCTCGGAAACCTGAAAATAAAACTTATATGAGAAGGTATATACAATTACCTTTCCAACGGTATATAACACGCCTAACCAAAGTTTCATACCCTCGATACTGCCATTCCCGTAGTTAAGGATGATTAAGATTTTTCGTAGTCTAACATAGCAGGTACTCGATTTTGTGCATCCAAACTCTTTATTAATAGCTTTGCAGAATTTTGAGTATTAGATTTGCATACCTACTAGCACAATATTTAAAAGGTATGAAGAATATGGGATTTTCCGGTAGTTAAGGATGATTAAGATTGTTTATTTTTTGCTCAAAAGAAAGCTTAGGTATTTTTCTTTAAGATTTTTGAGGTCGCTTAGTGGGATGCGACTTGTTTATCTATTAAAATGAGCATTTAGTAACTCGAAACAGCGTTTTTTTTTAATTTTTAATATATGACCTAAATTTTTCTGAAACCTGAAAATAAGACATATAAAAAATTAGATACAATTACCTTTCCAACGCTATATAACAATACCCACAATATGTACGCCTTTGGAATAAAATAACTGTTTTTCTATAGAATCGGTCTAAATTATGAATTTTTTTATTTATTTAGAATAGTTTTTAATATATAATTTAATAAATAGATACATAAAAATATACAAGGTAGTTAATTTTATAATTGCCAGCCTTCCATCCACCTTATTTTCCACCTTTCTTTGTGGCTTTTTTCGTCAATCCTTTCTTAGGGTTACTGGGTTCTGCTGTTGATTTCACTTCGGGTTTCGCTTTTGGAAAGAAATCACATTGGGTAGAGGAAGAAAACTTCTTTGACTTGAGCCTTCCATCGCCAATCGGTATGAAAGCATGATATTGAGCGGTACCATCGATTGTTACTGCAGCATCGAATCTGCTCTTCAGTGATTTCGCAGTTTCCGCATGATCATCTTTGCTACTAAAAATTATTTCAGTTTCTTTACAGTTCTTCTTTGCCCACCGGAATAAAGCTTTCGCATCTAAGATACGGGCTTGATGAGAGCATTGGAGGCTATACTTCGCTGCATTTCTTTTAATATTTGCTCCTATACCATCACATGCTCCTTTACCATGAGCAGTAGGATGAAAATGCCACTCAGCTGGTGTATCGAAATCTGTTTCATGAGCCATAAGATTTGCGAAGCTACTTTTGTTTTTAAAATGCTGACGAGCTCCATCCGAAACGTAGTATACCTTCGCTACTGTGAATTCGGATTTTAGATAATTAAGTATTATCTTCTGGTACTCATAAACAGCAACGGCGTCATGCTTCAAATCGTCGGATATGATTGCCATACTTTTATGTTCCAGTTTTCCATCTTTCATGTAGTAAATAACTATTGTAAATATAGTTGCTTGGTCGTTATTGAAATGGAATGCTTGTATGGCATCCTGGATAAAATATTTATAGTTTTATGAAATAACGAATTCACCTGCCTGCAAATGTATCTTCAAATTTTCGAAGAATGACCGCTGCTCCTTGACTAGAAAGTCATGGGTTCTCAAGTTTACCAATCCGGTACAAATTTCTTCCACAAAATCGTCCACACTTAAGATAACTGTTTTCAGTGTGCACCTTTCAGACTGCAGCCAAGATTCAAATTTGACCTCCTCCACAAATTCTCGGTCAAAAGACTTGACCAAATTCTCTTTGATGAACGTAGTTCCCGGGCAATTTGAGCATTCACCCAAGTGGCAAGAAGTTGATACATTAGGACACATTGTCAATTTAAGGCAATCACGGTAACTGTTCAAATCTTCCGGCGAATCATTTGTTAAATAATTCAAGTTGATTTCCTTCAACATCAGCTTCACATTTTCATGATAAATGCAAACGCATACTGTATGAGTTCCGCTGCTTCCTGCCAAGACGCAATGTTTTGGCTTGAGCTGGGTAAATTTTGTGAATCCAATTTTAATATCCTCGTGTTCAGATTGAAAGCTCGCGAACAGCTCATTCAGGTTGCAGAGAATTATCCTCTTCTGCATTTGAACTTTCTTACCGTCAATTCGTACAGACACCCAGTCTTTCATCCCTGGCATCAGGCGACTCATATCATCGCGCTGATAAAACTGAGTCACTAGAGCTTCAGTTTTGCACTCTAAAGGTTTTCCTTTCTTTGTGTTTGGGAGTGTGAGTATGCCATGCTCTGCAACTAATTTTTTAGCAATCCTGGCTTTTCTTTCTGATGTTCCAAACTCAGCCATTGTTTTTGCGCGACTCCATGTCGGTGGAGCAAGCGTGAGAAGTTGAATTTTTTCTGCTCTACTAGTTGAAGTTTTGTACTTTTCTTTTATTTGCTCAAGTACTTTTACTGCACACTTGTGGTATTGGTTTTGGCACTCATCCCTTGAAGTCATATTTTCTTCAGTAAAGTTGGAGCCATCGTCATCGGAAATTCAGTTATCCTTCTCAGATTCAATATGGT